GCGACACCCGATCTTATGGTCAAATTTGGTCATGGCAGTAATCAGTTCCCCGTCATAGGCCGAGACGGCACTCCTGCTTTGACCGCGCATGCCGGGTTGTCTTCACATGGATGGTAATTTGCAACCTTTGGGCCCCAAATGGGACAGTTCATTGAAATGCGTGTACTTTCAGTGTTTCCATCCTCCAGAACTATAGCGTGTTGAACCCCCCTCATCGGGAGGGGGGCGGGGGGCTCAATTGGGCGTGCCGGCCATAGCTCCCATGTCTGCGCCGCCTTTGATGTATTTACAATAATACTGATTTTCCTCCACGAGGCACTCAATGCTCGCTCTGGCATATGCTGCCTCTACTCATGTACTGTTTAAGGCTGAAAGAACGAAATCTTAAGACACTAGTGCTTTAGCTCGTCTTTACAAACCACTACAAATTGTATCTCGGCAGAGTTTGTGACTGGCCAGCTTTCCAATGCTCGAAAGCATCGACACTTTCCTCCAAGGCATCAAATCCCAGAACAACTTCGAGGTAGGCCCTGTCAGCAAGAGTGAAACCATCGGGTGAAGCTCCTCTAGGTTCAGACCTTAGCCAAGCATCCCTTGACTCCTGAATGGGGCCATCTGGCAAATGATATGCACGCTGATTTGACCTTGCTCCCTGAACGTTGATGGTGGTCCTAGACTTTCGTAAGTTCTCGTAGATCTCCAACATGTCCAGTACAGTGTCTCTGGTCCCATCATGATATAGACCTGAGCTCTCCAACTGCCCAAGCAGCTTTCCCAGAACAGCGCCATCTTCTACCGCCATTGCTGCGCCCTGCGCTTGATATGGCAGTGTTGGATGGCATGCATCGCCAAGCAAGGCTATGGGGCCCTGTTGAAATCAGTGATCACTTGCAGATAGTAGGTCCGTAGAATGATTACCTTCCTCCACGATTGCAATTCTTCGTGGTGACACAGCTTCCATTTTAAAACGGACGGGACACATGACAGCATTTTTATCAGTCTACGTCGATCAGGTCAGTAACAATACTCCAGTGTAAGATAACTTTTACCGGACCTTTCATCCCAGCCGACAAACAAAGCTCGCATCTCCTCCACATCCCCAGGCGCCTGTCTCATATCTTTGGGTATGTCATCTGGGCATATAATGACAAGGTTGAATACTTGTCCACCGCCGATGGGATAAAGAACACAATGCTTATTCGGGCCCATCCAGCATTTGACTGTCGTATGCTCGATCAAATCGTCTATCCGAGGGTCTTTCAAATCCTTCATCTGCTGCAAGGTCAAGGTGGCTCGATATGCAAGGTCTCCCGTCTCAGACGGTGGAGAGGGTCGGCCAAGGATCTGATCCCTCGATCTTGACCAGAGACCTCCGCGGTATTAGTAAGGACATGTTTTGCCAGTCTCGGATCAACGTCAAGAAATAGCAACTTGAAATGTGGGCAGACTGACCATCGGCACCAACGACAACATCACCCCTTACGATTTCGCCAGTCCCAAGGCGCACACTTGAGTCTTCGAAATCAATCGCCACTGCCTCCGTGCCAAGTCGTAACTCTGCGCCAGCCTCCTTGGCCGCGCTCCATAATACACCGTGGTAGTGTGGTCGAGCAATAACCCTAAGAGAGGGTCAGACTCAGCTTCATCAGCAACGCACCTCGCCACCTCGGGCAATAACTGACATCCAAAGATCGCCATAGGATTGCTTCATCTTCTCGCCGCCTTCCATCTGATATAAGACCTTGCCATCTTTGTATCGAAGGTAGTCAATTGTATTGACCAAAGTGGCCTTGTCTAGCAGTTGGGGTACGAGGCCGAGCTTGCGAAGGATCCGGGCAGCGTTAGGTGGTATCTGTATCCCTGCGCCGACCTATTGAACTCACACTGTCAGTAGCCCCCTCAAGTCTTCAGCTTCAAGGTGCATCGGAATGGCACTTACAGGCTGTAAAGCAGCAGCTTGTTCGAGAACTACAACTTCGAGGCCTTCCCGACGACAGGATATGGCGCAAACCAGACCACCGATTCCGGCACCAATAATGACCACCTTCATTTCGATTCCAGCAAACTTACATGTATTTCAGGTATGGGTGTTCATTCATGAGGTGCGATCGAAGATGTCTGAAATAAAAAGAGCTGTGCTGCGTTCCCGAGCACGCATATATAGGACGGTTCCAGCAAAACCAATTCCTCTTCACAGTGACGCGTAAAGCTGATGGAAACGACTTGCCAAAGGGGTTAATGCTGACCGATGTCAGAATGAGCTCGGAACGATGGGTTGACCGCCATTGACCGAGCTTTGCCGATGCGATAGCTAACCGTAACACGACTGACCCCATGACCATCACCCGCATTCTTCAAAGCTTCATCCCTGCAGTTTTCGAGGGAAGGCGTTGAATGATCCTGCAAATCTGCCAACAAACCTGTTTGACTACGAACTTTCTCTGGAGGTTTGTAAGAAAAAAGGCTTCCACATCGCACACCCATGTGTCACATGATGGCAGAAACTATTACCTCGTTGCCGGCACAGAGGTAAACATCAAAATTTGGGATGAAAAGACCATGCGAAAACCTTAAGTTGGCGGTAATTTGAATACTTTCGTGTGCTCTTATTCTACGTTCTATAGCCAGCGACCGGAAAGACTGGAGCATCTGTTTGTCCGATCAAAGACAGCCCTTACGAATAATTGTGCATACCTTAGGCTGGGAAAACCTGTCACCAGTTTCATGGAAACAAGTTTCATGCCAGGTAGAATCTTTGAACACGCTCCGGCAGACTCTTGAATTAGTCATCAAATAAAACTACATATGACTGCATGTGGCGTCTCGCATCGCTGCATCAGCTCAGTCGAACTCTCGTAACATAAGCACGCTTACTGCATGCCCACCTGCACTGCGTCGATTGAGACTTCAAGTTGCTGATGGCATTACGAGTTTCCCTGCATCCTCAATTCTGCCAGTCACAAAACCGAGAGGAACGTTTGGACCCCAAACATGGAGTGAATCTGGTGCTTCTGGAGACCGGGTAGCTTCAGTGTTCTCGTTGACCAGGTCTCCATCGCAATAATGTTCAAGAATGTTTCCCGAGGTATCAAACCTATGGCGAATATCCCGTTATTCCACCCTTCGGCACTTGTTCCTTGGAGTCTTGGGGATCGCGTTCATGCTTACCAGTAGTCAAATAGTTGGCTGCCCAAGACATGCCGTCCAATTCCCCAGCAGTTGGTGTAACCCTTCTTCAAAAGCCACTCGTGGCCGAGAGCTTGAGTATCCATATCATTAACCTCGAAGCTAGCGTGATGAACAAAAGGCGTCTGGCTAAACCGATGGGCGCCGAGGAAAAAGCTCTGGGTCCGTGATCAACAGAAGCACCAAAGATTACACGGCTTTGCCACTTACATGGTGGTCAGTGAAAGTGGTTCCTCTATCAATGTGCATGAAGCAAGTCGTGTCTTTGTTTGTCCGAGGGTCGAAAACCGCGTCAGTAGGCACTAGGTTCATAAGGCCAGTGTACCACTTCAGCGTTTTCTCGTAGGTGTCCTTGGGGACCATGAATCCATAATGCCCCAGCTTGTGAATTGGACTAGGCCCGTAATTGAAGCGTTTGAAACGACCTTTTCTTGGCTTTTCGTCAACCAGATTGGTGGGGGGACTCTCGTCGTCAGCAATCCGGCTTTTGTCCACATTGTCAACATCGCTTCTTGGGGCCTGGCCGTGAATGAATCCAACATAGTACCCATTCGGGTCGACAATGTCTACTCTTTTACCACCTCCAGGACCTTTCTCGCCGTGAATGCCTGTAGCGTCAGGGTGATTCGCAGCGACCTCAAGGTCGTTCTCGTTCTCCACGACCCAGGTTGCGCCAATAAATGCGCGGCGTGAGCCGGGAGATCTTTCAATTACATAGACGTACGGGTCAACACCGAAGCCGGCAAAGTAGACACGTCCGTCCTGCCGAGCCACCTCTTGAAGGCCAAAGTCTTCAAGGAATTGGGCTGCCTTTTCGACGTCGACGTGCTGATACAGCACTGAGGCCAGACGAATGACCCTAATCTTCTGTGGTGATGAAGCCATGGGTGCGACACGCGACTAATGATAAGCTGGATGGGTTTACGGACAGTGAATCAGATTACGTGCAGGCTCTTGGATACTCAAAACGGCTGGTCATATATGTAGCGCAATGCACTAGATTTCCCAACGGGATTTCGCGGACTTATTGACCGATGATGCGCCGCGGCCTTGAACGGCTTTACCGCGAATGCCGCCTGGCTATTTGACCTGCATCTGCCGGAAGACACGGGCTCCTGCTGCTAAGGGACTAACTCTATTTGACGGCTCTTCCTTTCGCTATCTACAGATTCCGGAATGAGAGATCCTCACCCGATTCTTTACTTGGTTGCTCTTTCGATTAATTGCCACAGGCTGGGAAGTCTTCTTTCATATGCTCACCTAATTGCTCTTGGCAACTCACTGTTGACCATGTCTTTCAATCGACTTGTTCATTTCGAGGAAGATGGGAAAATTAACTATGGTGATATGATCGACTCTAGTGATGACAAGGGCTTCGACGTCTTGGAGCTGGATGGTAGCCCATGGCTAGGTCTAAAATCGACTGATCGCAAGGTCAAAACTGCGAAGGTACTTCATGCACCTTGCCCGATTCGCCATTTGCTCACAATTAAGACGCTGCTTTTATGCCCCATTGCGGCCTGTCCATCATTATCTGTGTAGGGCTCAACTACAAGCAACATGCAGAAGAAGCAAAGGTATGCATAATGCCCAAGTCCTGCCCTTGGCCCTCACACAGTGTAGTGTTCCCGAACTGAGAAAAACTTACTTACGTATCGACGCAACGTCTAGTCGAAGGTGCCAACCTTTCCCGTCATTTTCACGAAGCCTAGTGATGCTTTGGCGGGGCCTTTGAACGATATCAAAGTACATCCAGACGCTCAGATTCAACTGGACTACGAAGGAGAGCTCGTGGTTGGTCATCATCGGCCACGATGCCAAAGACGTCAAGGAAGACCAGGCTCTCAATTACGTATTGGGATACACAGCTGGGAACGACGTGTCTGCAAGGAGCTTTCAACTGCCAGATGCCTCTGGTGGACAATTTTGTTATGCGAAATCATTTGACGGTTTTGCACCTGTGGGCCCCGCAGTCTGGTCAACCGAGTCGGTGCCAGATCCCCAAAAGCTTCATCTCACGACAATTGTCAATGGGGAGGTGGTCCAAGAGACGGGTACAAGTGACATAATTTGGTCGGTAGCCCAGATCATTGCCCACCTCTCTCGAGGCACGACTTTGCGGAGGGGAACAGTGATCATGACAGGCACTCCCTCTGGCGTCGATTACTTTCGAGGCGCCTTTCTCAAAGACGGTGACTTGGTAGAAGTAGGGATCTCTGGACTGGGGAGAATCGCAAATTGGATCGTCTTTTGACGCGCAAAAGAACGGGACACGAAAGAGATGTCTGCGACGTTGTTCAGAGGCTCGACTCGAAGCAGTTGAGCCCAAAACTATCACCGCATAGATATTCCAACTGCACAGGGGAGCACCAGCTATAGCACCCCTCAGACGTATTTGCGAGAAGTTGTGGTATCTCGCCCACATTTTCATCCAAACCCAATTCGATGTCGAAAAGTTCCCTCGGAGACTGGCAAGCGCCATGTGGCTCAGACGCTCCGTCATAGACAGATCCAGCACCAGACTGTCGCATACCCGATCGAATTTTATTTGTGGCTCTGAGTGACTCATTGTGCAGATTCAAATGAGAAAAGTAAATCTTGCAGTATTTTCTCAATGAGGATTGTTTCTCGAGGTTTCTCTTATATTCTATTGACTTGGAAGTCATCAGGCCTGTGAGAATCGGCACCATTAGACTGAATGAATGGTCTTGATATAGAACCGGATGTACTCACCCAGCAGCACAGAACCTAGCTCCCAGAAAGTAGCAAAGTGGGAAAGAATTAGGGCTGAAAGCTCTTGGTTGCACGATGAACTTAGTGACCGCGACGAAGACGTTGATGGATAGGTGCGGGCAGAAAGAAGTGTTCCGGCGAAGAATGGGTGACTGAAGGCGATGTATTCGGGGTGCCAACGGTTGAGGATTCTCGAATAGTCATCTCCGATTGTCGCAAAACCCGACGCTGGTGTTGCTGTCAGAATTTGTAAACACGCTTGAGTGTTTGCCAACATTAGATGCATGCCAATAATCCAATTGGCGTTCGCAAAAGTCCTGGCAGTGAAGACAGGCGGCTTAGTTTCCAGTCCATATCTCCGAGAAACTGCATGAGAGAAGTAAGTTATTGAGCTAGCGAGATCGCTATATTCTCGCTGAGACTTCTGCTGGCCTGAAGCTGCCTCGTACGCCAAAGCCATCAGATAGTTGGCCACGAGGAACCACGCTCGCTCGTCTTTGTTCGGAGAGTCGAGCAAGACTCTCCAAACCTGTGTTGGATTAAGAGGAATGACCGGTGACTCGCATGGGTTGTTGGAAAACCACGCTTCATCGCTGACCGGGAGACGCACAATGATCCTTTGGCTGTTGAGTCCTCGCGGCCTCATTGAGAGGATTGAAGCGAACGTATCAATCTCCCATACGAGCCAAAATGCTCTCCTACGCTCCTCTTCTGCCGACCACTTTGTGGACGCCATTTCATTGCCGCCGTCTTCTTCGTCCATACAGCAGACGTCGAGGTCGTAAGCTAAGCGAACACATACCCCGGTGAGTATCCATGCTTGATGACTTGGGCCGGCCGTGTAGAGATAAAAGGCCAACAATATACACCCCTGTAAATATTCCAACGTTGTTTCGCTATCGGACGATCGCAGTCGGCCGTAATATTGAATCGCCCATTCGGCGAAATTGTCCCCACGATTCGGTGGTGACAATCCCTGGAAGTACTCATTATTTGAGTGTCGCGCGGCGAGAGCAAAGATACCATGTAACAGAAGGCCCTCTTCCAGCGACACCTGGAGTAACCTCTCTTTTTGGAAACTACCATCGACAATGTACCTGGCGAAGAAGTTTGGTCGATGAAGCAATGGCAACCATGCTTGAATTTTGTCGAAGTACAAATTGACGAGCTCTGTTGCCACTTCAGCAGGTATCTCGGTCCGGTATAAATTCTTTTCTGTGCTTTCTCCAGCACCTCCCGCTTTGATTTCGACTTTTCGATCAGCTCTGGGCTCGAGACAATGGCTTGTTGAGTTGGCGGAAGTACAGCCTAGAGCCACTATGGCGTCCTGCTCCGCATCGTCTCGACAAGTCCCAACGGATCCGGAGTAACTAGGGCTCGTAGCAATTGATTGATCGCTGCCTTGCTCTCTTCCTGGAGATTGGCCCGTAGAGCTTTGGCTTTTTGGAGTTTCGTCAAGTCTGGATTCAAGAAGGCTAACAAGATGTTCTATCAGAGGCTTAGTATAAACACAATTGACGTATTCGGGATGAAATTGGGTCTAACCAAGCCTTTGAGGGTCTATCACGTTTAAATCCTTCTGTTTTGCGGGCCGTTTTCGGAATTCGGGGGCTTTCCTTTTTGTCGGGAATGTACAAGACCCGCCTGTTCTCCGACAGAGACCGCAGATGGGTTGCCGCATATCGCCTACAGGTTCAAGATCAGTGACGTGGTTAGAAACGTAGGGAAATTCAGAAGTCCTTGCATACACCTTGTCTTCTTGCTGCGTTGGAAGAAGTCAGTACGATTAAGCCGGGAAGAGTAGGAGAACCAGTGATGTGACCTTAAGTCATACTCTGTAGGCGGCGACTTACCGTCGGCACTCGATACAAGCGCGAAATCCCCTCTCTGGGGGAATAGCTGCAATGATATTGCTGTCTTTTGAGACCCGGGCATCTTTTGTCGGTCCTAAGCCAGTGATACTTGCTTCGGCCTCCATCTGGATCAAGCCTGTGCAACGATAACGATGCTGGAGGAGACGTTCGCGACTCTAGAATTGCAAGTCGTATGCAGTCAGGACAAGAATAGCCCCGGAAGACGTAAGGCTTTGGGCGATATGGAGTGGATGTAAACGACGCTTAGAGGACGACGATGAGCATGTCGATGTATGACTGAAGCAAATTCATGTAGCTTGGAGATGTGCCCCGCTGGCTACCCCAGATTCCAGGTGAGGGGCCGCCCGGGGTTTACGGGATGTGATGCAGGGGCTGCTTGGGCACAGGTCGCTTCAACGGGAACTAGACCGGCAACGCATTCCTCATGGGGTAATCAAAATCGACCCTCTTTTACATGTATCATCTACCTTGGACCTAGTATACTTTCAAACAAGTTATTCAATTTCAGCCATCTGTGATGCTCCGGTCTTCTCCTGACACTCTCTCAGCATCTGCAAGCCTGCATGGCACGCCTCAATATGAAAAGGTATTGATAGTATGCAGCTGCTGACTGGAAATGCCATTATATGGGAATATGTCGAGATGATTGCTGAGAACCTCTGAGCTTTAAAGTTTCTGAGATGGCCACACTAAGTACTCCGTACTTAGAACTCAGTATCAGTGTGGGGACGGTCAACCACGGCGTTCCGAATTGCCGTCCTTGGGGGCACATTGACTAGGCACGTGCGGTCAAGTGAAGAACCTTGGACAAGAGTTCAGCCGGATGAAGATCACCGCGGTGGACGTCGGCATAGTGAGAGCGGTCAACAATATTCTCGCCAGATCGAGGTGCTAATTTACAAAAAGCCCAAAGTCATCTGAGGGAAACATTGTCGTCATTCTGAGCTGTGTGACTTTCAACCAAAGATTTGCTAGTCGGAATCGAATTATTCAATCGCGTTAACCATGAGCTCGACAATTGTACGTCGAATTTTGTTGCTCAACTGCCTGGTTCGACGTTTTTATGACTGATTATTTCGCAGGTAATTGAGCACCACGTACCAGTCTTGGTCGTTGGCGCTGGTCCCGCTGGGTTGCTTCTGGCACTGCAGTTGGCGAAGAATGGTGTCCAAAGCTTGATAGCTGAACGAAACCTAGATTCAACGAAATGGCCAAAAATGGATATCACTAATTGTCGAAGCATGGAGCTGCTTAGAAGACTCGGGATTGCCGATGACTTGCGGGCTCAAGGCGTCCCACAACACTACTCTTTCGACGTTCTCTTCAGTACGGGCCTCTCAGAAAATGGAGAGCTCATTGACAAATGGGTAAGCTTATGCTTGCCCCGATACCTCTGCTAGATCAATGGCTTTGTAATTCTCATGAGAAAGTAGAACCTTCCTTCGCCAGACGAATGGCGCCAGCGCATCCATGCTTGCAATGATGGTTCCATGCCAAGGGAGCCATACCAGCGCTGCAGTCAGGCTATTTTCGAAGCCTGGCTGAAGCGTCGCATAGAGTCCGAAGAGCTAGTCGAAGATCACTTCGGCCTCAAGTTCGAAAGTTGTGCAGAAACCTCCGACGGGGTTAAATCGGAACTCGTCAACACCGTCACTGGAGAGCGGCATATGGTCACCAGTCAGTATCTGGTCGGCTGTGACGGCGCTGGCAGTAGCGTCCGTCGGCAACTTTACATCAAGATGATTGGTGGTCCTGTGTGAGTTAGCATGGTTTTCCATCGAAGACTAGCAACTTGAGTCTCTAATGTGATATTGTCCAGACCTTCTGCGATGTATCTCATTCACTTCAAGTCACGAGATCTCACGGCATTGCACAAGCAAGGCCAATTCTGGCACATTTTCTTCACCAGCGGCAGCGTCATAATATCTCAAGACGAAGTTGATACATGGACAATCCATCTTCCCATATCTCTCGACACTGATTGGAAGTCCCTTGATCCAACAGAGTCCATATACCGAGGGCTGGGCGGGTCTTTGGCTCCTTATCCCATCAAGGTGGACGAAATCCTCGTTTGCAGCTCGTGGCGCCCAAACATCGCTATTGCCGAACGTTTTGCTTCTGAAAGTTTCAGAGTGTTCTTAGCCGGCGATGCAGCTCATCAAAACATTCCCACTGGTGGATACGGCATGAACACGGCTGTTGGCGACGTCTTTGATTTAGGATGGAAACTATCGGCTGTTCTTAATGGCTGGGGAGGGCAAGAATTGCTCCGCTCCTACGAAGTCGAACGAAAACCGGTTGCAATTCGCAACATCGAACGGTCTGGTCAACATTTTCAAGTTCACCAGACTTACGTCAAGTGGGTGGCCGACGGAGGCTCAGATGTCCTTTTCAATAGGGAGGAGCGTAGACTTCTGTTTAACCGCATAAAGGCACATACCGAGACCCACCAAGGTGAGAACAAGGACCACGGAATCGAAATGGGATATCGGTACAACGCATCGCCTGTCATCCTCCAGAACGAAGCTGGAGAAGGAGGACAGGAGCCTTCATGGGATCCGCGAACATTTGTGCCATCCTCATGGCCTGGTGGGCGTGCTCCTCATGTCTATCTTCGGGATGGCAAAACCAGCATTTTCGACCTGTTTGGAGTAGGATTTTCAATCATTGACTTCACACAAGCTGGGACCTGGAGTCAAGAGTTTGAGGCAGCAGCTGGAATGCTCAATATTCCGCTGACGAAGGTTTATTTGCCCGGAGAGATCCAGGCTAGGAAGGTGTGGGGTAGAGATGCGGTTCTCGTCCGTCCTGATGACCACATAGCTTGGAGGTCACCACTCGACGGGAAGAGACCGGATATTAGAGCAGTCTTAGAAATTGCATCAGGGAGACAACGGCAGACACCTTTGAAGAAAGACTGCGAATCTTCTCATGCGTTGGAGGGTATCAAGCAGCACGGATTTACATCAACCTTGGGCAACGTCGCAGACAACAGAACTGACCTCCTTGCCCCGTTTCAGCGCTGAAATATTGCTAGACTCCCAGAATTCCGTAGCAAACCACTCTATTACTAGGTTTATGTCTCAATTGCCGTGAGAGCGATCAACATAATCGCATCATGAGCCTTGTGAAAACAGCAAGCGCTCCTCTACGTGTCTGTTCGTCAAAGAAATGCCATCCCAGTATCACAATGGTTTTCTTCATCCTTTCTTCGTTCAGCGCTCCCGTATTCATCCCTGAAGTGATCCAAGCAACGCCAACTCCCTTGTGTACAATATGCTGTCATGACCGGTAACAAAGAAGTGCATCTCGCTATACCCATCAAATAACGTTGGCAGAACGCAGAAGTGTGAAATACAATCTTTTCCCAGCGTTGTGCAAAAGTCCGCTATGAAGGACACCATCTACTGCCTGCCAAACTGTCAATACCGATCTGCTAGATATATGCTTCCAAGAACTCACTTGCGACCCGACGATCTAAACGACACAGTGAACTCAGAGCCGTCCTTCAAGTGAGTGACTTCGTGCGTGAGGTCGTCAACTTGCTTCATTGTGGTCTCCAATTTCTGCACAGTCTCGACAATGGTTTGCTGATGAAGATCAAGTCGGTGGCAGGAATTGGAAAGATTAGTGCCCATCGGCGTGTTCTCCTGGAGGTTCTTGTAGTGCGCCTCCATCGCGCGGAATTCCTGGGTCTCAGAAAGCAGGTGGTCGAGCTTGAGATGGATATCGCCCAGGGATTTATCAATTCCGCTGCGCCATTGGCGAAACTCCTCCACTTCGGGATTGGCAGTAGGAGATGCCGGAGCCTTCGATATGTTCTCTGCCAATCGGACGTCAGGCCACTGGACCATGCTCGTTT